GGCCGGCGCCGAGGGGGAGCGAGCAGGGGGGGCCCCCCGGGGCCCCCCCAGGGGGGCCCCTGGGGGGCCCCCCTGGGGTTTAAAATATCTCCAGGAGTTGAAGTGGGTCAGGCAATAGATCGGGGCAGCCGCTTTATGGTTTGGGTTTCTCCTCTTTTGCAGAAGAAGCAGGAGCTGATTCGCATGCAGCAGCAGCGGCAGCAGCAGCAGCAGCAGCAGGAACAGGAGCAGCGGCAGCAGGAACAGGAGCAGCCGCAGCAGGAACAGGAGCAGCCGCAGCAGCAGGAACAACAGCAGGAGCAGCAGCAGCCGCAGCCGCAGCAGGAGCCGCCGCAGCAGCCGCCGCAGCCGCCGCCGCAGCAGCAGCAGCAGCAGCGGGAGTGCAGCGAGCTGGTGCCCGCGAGTCTGCTGCTGGAAGCCACAGTGCCGCGGGGCTGCCCCAAAAGCACCTGTGACTTCAAACTGCTGCTGCACCCTTCGCCTTTGCTGCTGGGCCATTTGGCTGCGGTGTCTCGGGAGTGTGTGCAGCAGGTGTCTAGACACTGCAGCGGGGGGGCCCCGCTGCTGCTGCTGCTGAGCGGTGCGCAGCAGCAGCAGCTTGCGAACGCGAGTCTTTAGTTGCATTTGTCGGTTCCTGTTGCCGTTTTGGGTCCATTTAATCCATTTTAATTCATTTAAATTCATTTAGTTCATTCGAATTCATTTGATCGACTTAAATTCGTTCAAATCAAAATGGAGAGAGGGAGGCGGCAGGCCGCGCGGCGGGCGCCGCGGTTTCGGGTGTATCGACAGCTCCGGGGCCGCGGGGCGCTCGCTCGAGTCCACTTCTCGCGGAGTGTTCACTAAATTAGTTTTAATTTGGAAATTCGGGATATATTTGAATTATTTAATGTTTTTTGTCCGTTTATTTCTCCTTTTGGCGGCTCGTTTCCGCTGCAGAGCCGCAGCACGCCCACCTCATCCCCGAGGTCGTGGCCCGCGCCCACCGGGAACTGCCCGCAGTCGCTTTTCTCTTCCGCGCAAATTCGAAAATTAAAATTCATTCTTTTGCTTCTTCCTTTCCAAACATTTACCAAATCAACAAGTCCCCCTGCCCCCGAGGTCAGGCCCGCCCGCAGCTAGCTGGCTAGCTAGCTAGCTAGCTAGCCAGCTAGCTGGCTAGCCCGCTAGCTAGCTGGTCATCTACCCCGCTACCTATTCGCTAGCTAGCTAGCTAGCTAGCAAGCTAGCTAGCCAGTTAGTTAGTTAGCTAGCTAGCTAGCTAGCTAGTTGGCTTGTTCGCTAGTCGACTAGTTAGCTAGCTACCTAGCTAGCTAGTTAGCTAGTTAACTAGCTAGCTAGCTAGCTAGCTAGCTAGCTAGCTGGCTAGTTAGCTATTTAGCCAGCTAGCCAGCTAACTAGTTAGCTAGCTATTTGTTTTCTGCCTTTAGAATCTCCAGCGTAGATTCCCCATTACAGCAATTGCTCCCCTTCATCCGAACCAATTGCTGCTGCTGCTGCTGCCGCTGCTACTGCTGCTGCTGCTGCTGCTGCTGCTGCTGCTTGTTGTGGGGTGCTGTGCAGAGGAGGCGCAGCAGCTGGAAGAGATAATGAGAACAGCAGCAGAAGAGGTTTTCGTCCTTTGCGGCTTTCCCTCCAACTCAGTACACTTTTGTTTTAATTAAATTTATTTATTTATTTATTTATTTATTTATTTATTTATTTATTTATTTAGTTAGTTAGTTATTTAGTTAGTTATTTATTTATTTAGTTATTTATTTATTTAGTTAGTTAGTTAGTTAGTTAGTTAGTTAGTTAGTTAGTTAGTTAGTTAGTTAGTTAGGTGGTTAGTTAGTTGTTTAGTTGTTTATACATATCGATGAAACCCGGCTTTAGAGTTTATGGGTTACGGTCTTGAGTGTTTAGGGTTTAGGGTTTGGGGTTTAGGGTTTAGGGTTTAGGGTTTAGGGTTTAGGGTTTAGCGTTTAGGGTTTGCGTGTGGGGCGTTCAGGAGGAGTTGGCAGTGCTGCAGGAGAGTTCTTTAACTCCTTTTCTTTGTCTCTTTTTGGGGCAAATCTGCTGCATGCAAAAAGAAGAAGAAATAAAAAAAGAAATAAAAAAAGAAACAAAAAAAGAAATTAAAAAAGAAATAAAAAGAGAAATAAAAAAAGAAATTAAAAACGAATTCAAAAATGAATTTATTTCTTTTTTTCCAAATTGCCTTTTTCAGCAAATTCAAATCCACGACGAAGTCGGCCCCCTCGAGGTCCTTTTTATTTCCACTTATTTTTAATTTTAATTAATTAATTAATTAATTAATTACTTTATTTATTCATTTATTTATTTATTTAATTACTTTATTTGTTTACTTATTTATTTATTTATTTATTTATTTATTTGTTTATTTACTTACTTTCATTTAGTTATTTATTGGACTTAATTTTATGTATTTATTTTCATTTAATTTTGTTTCTCCTCTTCCAGAGATTTTAAAGCCCCACTTTGATTAAATTAATTAAATCAAATTAAATTAATTAAATTAGTTTAATTAAATTAATTAAATTAAATGAATTAAGGTAAATTAAATTAATTAAATTAATTAAATTAATTAAATTAGTTTAATTAATTAAATTATATTAAATTAAATTGAATTAATTTTGCCTGCAGATATCTTCAGCTTTAATTTCTCTTTTGGAAAACTTTAAAAACTTTTGGAAAAATAAATTTTTAAGAATTTCAAAAAAGAAAGTTCAAAAAATGAAAAGGAGTGACTGGTGAGGCTTTTATTTATTTTATTTCCTTTTATTTTATTTTTTCTTATTTTTAATTCTTTTTATTTCTTTTTATTTTATTCCCTTTTATTTCATTTCGTTTAATATTATTTCTTTTTATTTCGTTTTATTTTTTTATTTTTAATTCGTTCTATTTTTAATTCCTCTTATTTTCAACTCTTTTGTTTTATGTCTTTTTATTTATTTTTAACTTTTTAATTTTTAATTCCTTTCATTTTTAATTCTTTTTAATTTCTTTGAATTCGTTTTTATTAGCTCTTTTGAATTCTTTCTATTTCTTCTTAATCCTTTTAAACTGTTTCTATTTAAATTATTTATTTGATTTAAATTATTTAATTCATTTAAATTATTTAATTCATTTAAATTATTTAATTCCTTTAATTCACTTAATTCATTTAATTCATTTAATTCACTTAATTCATTTAATTCATTTAAATAAAAAATGAATTAAAATAAAATGAAATTAAATCAATTGAGAGAATTAATTAAATGAAAAAGACCAACAGTAGAAAACAATGAAACAAGAATAAACTAGACAAAAATGAAATTAAATAATAAATAAATAAGGGTTTAGGGTTTAGGGATTAGGGTTTAGGGTTTAGGGTTTAGGGTTTAGGGTTTGCGTGTAGGGCAGCGGTTGAAGAGCTGTTAGGGTTTGGCGACTTTTTGGTGGTTTTCAAAATTGGAGTAAAAGACAAAACCACAAACCCTCTTGATACTCACTTTCAGGTCTTTTATTTTATTTAACTTAATTAATTAATTAATTAATTAATTAATTAATTAATTAATTTATTTATTTATGATTTAATTGATTAATTAATTAATTAGTCAGTTAATTAGTTTATCAATTTATTTGCTTTTATTTATTTATTTATTTTTGCTGCTTCGTTGGGCTCCGCAGTTGTTCCCCTTACCCCTACAAATGGACAGCAGCAGCAGCAGCAGCAGCAGCAGCAGCAGCTGCAGCAAACAGTACAACTTGCTGCATCTGATAAACAAGACACTGGAGTCCAGAACGCGTGGGTACATCAAAGGGCAATTAAAATAAATAAATAAATAAATAAATAAATAAATAAATAAATAAATTAATTAATTAATTAATCAATCAATTAAATTAATTAAATTTAATTAAATTAATTAAATAAAATTAATTATTTGTTTATTTGTTATTTGCTGCTGCAGCCAGCATCAAAGAGCTGCCCTTCACGAATGTGCTGCTGCCAGTGCAGCAGCAGCAGCCGCTGGAGCGTTCGCTGCTGGAGCTGCAGCAGCAGCAGCAGCAGCAGCAGCAGCAGCAGCGCAGCAGCAGCAGCAAAACAAAAGAAGACAATACATTAAATGAAAATAATAAAATAAATGAAAATGAAAATAAAAATAAAACGAATTTAAATTCAAATGAAATTAATAAATCCAAACAAGAAGAACTGCTGCCTGCTGCTTCCAACTACGGAATGGCTTTCGCCCAGGCCCTCAGCGTCAGCTGCTGCTG